GGCGAGTGTAGGATTGTGTCGCTTGTGTCTTTGAGTAATAAACTGCGACATTCTTCCCTGTGTGTTCGAAATGTTGATAGACTTTTTTATTTCGAATTGTTTCCTTTTTGGAAGTTTCCATGCATGCGTTTGTTTTTAACGTTTTGTTATCAAAAATCATTTAAATAAGATTTGCATGCTGTTCATAACGACGCTGAAAACGTTAACCTGACAAGCCCTCAATATTGTTTATTTCTTGTTTCAGAGCTGTGGGCCGTCATCAACAACGCCGGCGTCTGCATCCCCGGGGAGTTGCAGTGGCTGACCTGGGAGCAGTGTCACAGGTCGATCCAGGTCAACCTGGAGGGCGCCGTACGCATCACCAAAACCTTCCTGCCGCTGCTCCAACAGGCCAAAGGTGAGGCGATATTTACCGTCGGCTACCTTCAGGTAAAGTGGAGAGATACGTCCACGTCTGCAGAGCTGCCTTTATATTTTACTGCAGACGATGATGGAAACGTGTTTTATGCTGAAAATCATGTCACAAAATAAGAGCTACATGAACACGGAGCTGTAATGACAGAAGTAATGTAACGCGCATTTCCTTTGAAGATCACAGTAGTATCACAGTATCCTTGGATACTGTGATGCGGATACTGTGATGTATCAGATATACTGTGATGATACAGTACGGATACTGTGATGTGATAAGGATACTAGCTCACAGTATCCTTGGAAAGTCTTTATGTCGTGGCTGATTTCTGAATGATAAGCTCTGCTGCCCTGCATCCCTGATATGTAGACTGTAACACTACATCCCTGATTGGTAGACTGTACCGCACTACATCACTGTCTGGTATACTGTACCACACGACATCACTGACTGGTATGTATGTATACTGTGCCGCACTAACTACATCACTGACTAGTAGGTATACTGTGCCGCACTACATCACTGACTGGTGGGGAGGTATACTGTGCCGCACTACATCCCTGACTAGTAGGTATACTGTGCCGCACTACATCACTGACTGATAGGTATACTGTGCCGCACTACATCTCTGACTGGTAGGTATACTGTGCCGCACTACATCACTGCCTGGTAGGTATACTGTACCGCACTACATCACTGCCTGGTAGGTATACTGTACCGCAATACATCACTGACTGGTAGGTATACTGTGCCGCACTACATCCCTAGTCTATAGGTTGTAATGCAAAGCTGCTCTAATGATTGGTCTCACGCATGTGTTGGAATTAATATCAAATGCTTCAAATATGTTTGACAATATTTCCTGCATTTGTGAACCGCTGGGAAAGCATATGATCGAGTGAATTATTCGCAAATCGATCAGCGTCACGTTACGTTATATTAATTTACCCAACAACGCTCTGGGAAACAATCAGTCATATTTTACATTTGTTTGGATGCTCAGAGCGTGCTGTTTGCCATAAGTTTGACTGTATTTCGTGTGAACTTGTCAAGGTAACTACCTCAATTTTCGGCACCACCTATCAATCTAGACTCGTTCCCGTCGTTAGCCTTCACCACTAGCTCGCCTTGGTCATGTACTTTACGACAGGCCGGTTTCTTTCTTCTCACTCTCTAATTCTAGCTTTTTGTTGTCACCATAATCACGGCGATAGTCGCCGATCTAACAGTCGTCTCCTGTGTCTCATAGGTCGTGTGGTTTTCGTGACGTCGTGTTTCACGGATGGCGGACTGCCGGGAGCTGGTCTCCTGTCGGCCACCTCGGCCGCACTGGACGCCCTGGCTGATTGTCTGAGACTGGAGGCGCAGGGACAGGTCAAGGTGTCTACGGTTCGACTAGGAGATTTCAGTCTGACCACCGGTCTGCTCAGTGAACATCACAGGTCAGTAACAGGTCGCTACATACATGTAGCGTCAATCGTCATAAGTCAGTGACAAATCAAAGGGCGCACCGCAGGTCATGAGTACTCTTATTGAAAGGTACAGCAAGGAGTACGTAACTCATGCTCGTATAACAGCGGTAGTCGTGGGTTTCACATCGCACTTTAGTTCGTGATACTTTTTAGAACTTCGACCTAAATGACACCTATACCGCACCCTGTGTTTGACAACACGTATTACGTTTCATGCGTGATACAACCCGACTGCAGCACACAGTTGCACTCATGAATCACATACCTTCTGGGTGGCCAAATTCCGCAGCCGTCTGTAACACAGCAGCTCGTCCTGCGGATAGCACAGGTCCCCGGTGCATTGAGTCTCAGGCGTCTGCGTCCCAGGCGCAGGTCACAGTGGGAGCGGCCGGGTCAGTTGCATCACGCAGCACACATGGTGCACGGTGTTGATCATTGCTCACGTCTGCGGCGGCACAAGGGGCCTCAGTGAGTCACGGGGCCTCTCCAAACAAACGGGCCCGGCGGCGCGCCCCGGCTGCACTCCATTCAAAACACGAGCGCCGCAGGGACACCCTCGACCGTCCTGCGGGTCGCGGTGACACGCCTGCTGCTGATGATACCCCGTCCAGCCGCCTGCATGTCTACTTCGTGACAGACGGGGTCGATGAACCGTTAAAGAACAGGGTGCGGCACTTTTCGCTGATGAACTTGAAGTTGTAGTAGTCTGTCTCAATGTTCAAACGTTTCGGCCGATGGGGTCGCCGATGCTTGTTGTCAAACCATCCTTCATCAGAAACTCTAAGATTACATCTGGACAAGGATAACCTGCCATCTCAGCTGAGTCCGATGATATTCGACCAAATCACCAGCACACTTTGGTAGTATTGCCCCACTTCCCTACCGACTACCGTTTCCTTTATTCCCACGAAATCAGACACGAGCTCATGACAGCGCAATATTAATGTTAAACGCCAGCTAATGACCTGCTACGCGAAGTCGACGACAGACTGCTAGTGGTAGTGTGTGAAAACCTCACCATTCACCAGTGAAATGTCACACTTCCCATTAGCTATGGTCCTCCCTTACCTCCGCGCCGTCAGGGCCGGTGTAGGTGCATATTGTACTTCATGGTACCGTGGGCTGCCTATTCAATATACGGTTTGTCCGTGTCCACCGTTCCTGGCAAGTATTCTGTGCTGCCGCCCTCTCATACCGATGTTCAGTGCCGTTATTGTCTTCCCATGCGATGCCCCGTGCCCTGCCCCGCGCCGTTCATCGTACTCACGGTCCAGTGTTTCGGTCTGTATTTGTGCCCTCCCTGTTCAGTGTTCAGTGCTCCGTACCATCTCCTCCCTGACCGGTGTGTCCGTAACACCCTCGCTGACCGCAGTATCCCGTTGCACCCTCTCTGACCGTTGTGTCCGTCTGTTCCAGGGAGGTGGCCGCCATGCGGGCCGCCCTGCCGGACGCTGCCGAGGTGGACAGGTTCTCCGCCTACCAGGACGCGGTGGCCAGCCGCGGACTGACGCTGCGCTCCGCGGCGCCGCCCCAGCCGCTCCCCAAGACCGTGTGCGCCGCCTTCGAGGACGCCCTGCTGACCCGGCGCCCCCTGCGGGCCTACCAAGTGACCGAGGGCGTCGGCGCCCGGCTCGGCCGCTGGCTGAGGGCCCAGCTGCCCTCTGACCTGCGGGACGCTCTGGTGACCCGCCGCTTCCGTCGTCAGCTACCCAAAGTGACGCACCTGTAGAGGGAGCCGGTGTGCCGACCGGCGCGGCGGCGGTGGCGGCGTCACCGGCAGCGTGAAGCAGCTCCCTTGGCGTACGGAGACGCGTCACACTCGCAGGAGCGCCGCCAGAGGCCTGCTACGTCTTACTACCACCAAATAAACACCAACCCCGGATCCACTCTGGACACGATCCGTGCCGGCGGCCGCTGCAGCGTACAGAGGCGGTCAGAGCTGTTTGAAATAGTCACCGGACCGTGCTGCCGCGGCTGCCGTCTGCCAGCCGTCACAAGATAACACAGCGACTGTTTGGGCCGGGTCCTGCATGTGTATCTTAAATATTGTATCCACGAGGCATGTCGCTAGATAAAGATAGGATTAGGTAGCCAGTGCATGCTGTTTTACCCCGGTGTGTGACCTTTCATCGCGTTTCGGTAGGCTACATGAACTTTTACTTCGGTTTGCAGAACTTATATTCGATTCATCAGATCGGCATGCATTATCACTAGACGCAGATTATTACGGTTTTGGTAAAGGTAAAATTGGTATTTTAGCAATATATATATTAGGCAAGGATTTAGCAATTTGTCCCCGTTCTCAATAAGCCCTGGAAATGAATGCTCAATCGTGTAGGTTATACTTTCGGCGATGCTCCATCAAGTAGCACACTAAGGTAGCTAGTAGTAAAGGTTGCTGGAAATGACAAGCCATTAATAACACGAGTGATGCTAACGTGCGTTTGGATGTGCTAATTGCCCTTGTGAGGAGGGATAGCAGATATGTTGTGAAATGTGCTGTGCTGAATGGTAGGCTATGTGGAACAAACCGTGGTGATAATGCATGGATATTGGATAGTGTACTGTAATGTGCTGGATAGTGTGCTGTAATGTGCTGGATATTGTGTTGTAATGTGCTGGTTGTGCTGCAGTAGCGTGAAGAGGCTAGCTCGAACGGAAATGTGATTTTAGGCAGCTGCTGCATTGCTCGAATGCGAGTCTCCGATACATTTGACTAGGTGACTGTTTTAGTGATAGTCCATAAGCTCCATTTTAGATGGGACGGCCCACCTGGCCCCGGCCGTTCTATTCATCTTGGATGGCCGACTTTTGTGCCGATTTAGAATAGGATAATCATATTGAACTGAACAGGACAGATATTATCTCCTGTGCGTTTCGAAGACGCGTTGCCACCGCGATGTCTTATTTCTTTTTGTATCGGTGTTTTCCCTCTGTTTCGGTGTTAGTGTACTGTAGACCCCACCCGCACTCCGCTGACCCGCGCACCCAGGATGGGCGCAGACGGCGTCACCCCGTCACCCGTTACGCGTCACACACTACTTCAGTGGAGACCACAGGCCGTTGGTCCGCCCTCTCCGGCTTTGATGTACCCAAATAAACGATACACAGCCAGACAGCGATCTCTCACATATGTATTAACAATGTCAGCCATCCGCCAGAGACTGACAGCACTTAGTGCTTACGCGAGCAAACATCCCCTGCTAGGTAGCCCGTGCGTACGAAGCTGTAAGCAGAAGTCAGAGCCGGGCGGGACCCCGACCACCCGTGAGAAGCGAGGCACCGGCGGCGGCCGAGGCTCGCTGCCTGCGGGAGGTCGCCCAGGCCCGCGCCGACGGCGGCGGTAGCATGAAAGCACCGGCACCGCACATTTGAGGAAGCGGCTCAATGTCAACAGCTCTAAGCGTTCAGATTGCCACCGAGCTCCCGGAGTTCGCAGATCCGTGGAGCCGGTGGACCCTAACAAACCCTCCCAAAACAGCAACTCTCAGTAACGCGCGCAGGCTCGGTCAGAGGATCTGAACTAGTCAGACTTTGCGCCGAGGCCTGCGGTGCCAGGATCACATCGCTGGCAACAAGCTGCGTTTGACAGGCGCGGGGCAGCCGGCTGCCCAGCCTGCCCCAGCGGGCCCGCACCCATTGGAAGCCACAGAAATCACAGCCAGTGGGCGTGGTGACATCACACATCACCACGAGGTAGTGACGTCATGAGTCACCACACGTTGGTGACGTCATATCACCACGGGAGCGATCTACGCTCGTGAGGCACACAGTATCGCGTAAGGCACACACTATTTCAGGCCCGGGCGGCGCGGCGCTAGCCGGGTTCGCACTGCGATCAGGATCGGCCGACCGGCGGCTCGAGCGTCGTCCGTGCGCTAGCACATGCGGCCGTAGCCGGCATAATTTTGGCCGTAGCTGGGGCCGTAGCCGGCCGGGTACGGTGTCTGGGCAGGCGCCGGGGCTACCGGTCCACAGTTGTAGTACCCATAGCCGTCCGGCTGGCTTACCGGGGGCGGCATGTAGCCACCCTGGCCTCCATACATTGCGCAACCAGCGCCCGTAGGACTGCCCATGTTCATCTTCACGGGCTGGTGCTGGCCGGCCGGTGACAGCAGCGCCCCCTGGCCGCTGTGTGGCGCCACCATCGCGGCGCACGCCGGCGGAGAGAGCATCATGGACGCGCCGCTGCCGGGCGGACTGTAGAGCCCGTACCCTGAGGTGCTGGCGGGCCGACCGCCGGCGCCGGCGCAGTACCCGGGCGATACCGAGGCGGTTGGCGACGGCGTCATGGCCGGGTTAGCCATCACCGAGCCGCCGCACGGAAATCCACCACCGCCGCCGAACGGCAGCGCGCACGCCGCCGACTCGAGCGCCATCTCGCCGACGCTGCTCCAGCTGCACGTGCTGCTGCCGGACGGCCTCCTCTCCGAGTCGGGAGAGGTGAGAGGAGTGAGCGGAGAGAGCGGCCGCGGCACCTCCGGCGGAGGGGTATGGTTACACCGCGACAGGGCCGCGGCCGTGCTGTCGGCGCAGGCGCTCGTGCAGCAGGGCAGGTGGGAGGAGAGCGCCGAGACCAGCTGACTGCGCTCCTGCAGCAGCTGGATGATCTCTAGCCGGAGCGAGTTGTGCTGATTCACCTGGCGCTCCGAGTCCTGTGGAGACAGAGGGGAGGGCATTGTTAGAGGGCTGACACGAGAGGGAGAGGAGGGAAAAGTCTGAGGGCTGGTATGGGAGGGAGAGGAGGAAACGATCAGAGGGAGGGAGGGAACGGCCGTAGGGCTCGTATGGGAGGGCGGGGAAACAATAAAAGGGGACGAAGGGGAGGGACCTTCATTGGTCTACCGCGGCTTGGAGCCTATGAAGGTGACAATGACGTGGAGGTCGCACTAAAAGAGGCTTCATCCGACAGTATACCAGTCACGTGGCATACGTGTCTTCTCGGTATGGTTCTTGATAATGATAATGGCTGGGGTACAAACTTCAACTCATGGCTCTAGCAAGTCACACACTCGAGTGAGTGCAAACAGCTTATCAGGCACTTCGTGGGACCGGCGTACTAACACCTTTCTCGCAACGACAGCCACGAAACAACATCTTATCTACAATTAACGAACCCTAAATGTACATCTCATGCTCCATAGTGCATTCCCAGAATGAGCTGATGCCGAATCGGTTGAACCAGGGCGCACCCAGACGCTTAATTTACAAACTATAGTTTCGCCTATCAGCCGCCAGGTGTCCCTACTCCTATCCACCAGATGTCACTAGTGTTCCAGATCACGTCATCGGCCAAGGCCACGCGTGGGCCGCTGCACCCGTCCGGCAACCTGTTCGGTGGGTCGGGGGAGGGGGAGGGGGCAGAGCAGCGGTCTGCGGTCCCTACGTCATAGTGACGCAGACAGGGGGCGACTGCCGGCCGGGGAGGGGCGGGAGGACGTCCGTTGGAACGGCTGGCTTCCCATGCGGTCTGGGGGGCGGGGAGGGGCAGGGGTGATAGTGGAGTGACCGGTAGGGTACGCGGGTGGGCGGATTGGCAACGGGAGGTGGCACGTGACTCGAGAGAGCGATGAAAGGATAAAACACGCCAGGTGTGAGATGTAACAGCACGGCCAATTCGGCAGCACGCGTCTGCGGCCTTGAACCTTGGGCGATTGTTTTTGCCTGGGTTTCTGAGCCTCTCGCTACGGAGGAAACAACACCTGACAACAAGCCGCCAGACACCCTGCCCACGGACAACCACCATCCTTCGGTGCTGATTCCCCGAGACTCACCACAATCAGGTGCTGTGTCTCGATCTTCTTCTTGTTTCGACACTTTGTGGCGGCCACCTTGTTCCGCTCCCGACGCCGCTGGCGACGCGCCTCGTCGACCGACGTCAGCTGAAACAGGACAGAGAGGGACGTCAGTTACGTAAGAGACATCAGTAACGTCAGAGACGTCAGCAGGCGCCAGATACATCGGTAACTCAGAGACGTCAGTAAACGGCAACTGAACTATCTATCAGTGACGTGAAAGACGTGGGTACGTCACTACGTCAGATACCTATGTCTATTTATTGCACATGTTCTAGTGTGAGCGTGCTGTGCTGCACGCCACGGAACAACACGGGAATCACGGGCTCCCGTCACGGTCCGACAACGGAAACATAATCGGAAATGTCGGCCCACAGTGCTATCGCTGTTTTACGCTCAGCCACAACACACACTGTGCCGACATTTCCTTACAAGGAGTGCTCAGCACCGCAGTGTGTAATGTGTTTACGGGTAGTCAGAGGCCCTCAGTAGTGGTCTGGCGGCACCCACGGGGCACGGGGAGGTCCTACAGAGGGGGGAGGGGGGCTCAGAGGACCGTCCGACACGGGGCCGGAGGACATTTTCTGATGACACCGACCACACCCGCCAGACGCCGCCGAGAGTAAACATTGTCGGCGGCTAAAACAGGCCCCATTGTGGCCGCTTCAAGTGCCTCCGTACACGGCTCTATCAGGTCCGTAACGGCGCCGGCGGACGGCCCGACCGCAACTTCCGCGGCGGCGAGTTCACAGCGCATCCGGCGTCCCCACCGAGCTGTCTGAGCAGCGAGACAGGCGGGCGTCTGTCCTCCGGGCGGGGGCGTGCGACCCGGCGGCCTCCTCCCCGCCGCCCCTCCCCCGCCAAGGGCGCTGTTCCCATTCATCGGAGGCGCGCGGCGCGTCTGTAGAGCCAGTCACGTGCCGCTCGGCCCGGCAACAGGCGGCTATTGGCCGCCCATGACATCATCGTGTCCTGCAGTCATTGGCGGCTGGCCGCTATCGGCCCGGGGCGCCGCAGCTGAGTACACAGTGTGACGTACGGTCTCCCGGCTGTTACACGCGCCGCCACTGGCTGCCGGTGATGTCAGCCGCCGCTGACGTCACGTATCCTGTTTGGCCGGTCGCCGGTGGCGGGCCTCTTCCGCGCCGGCCGCGCGCTCAGTGGTCCGAGGGCGACGTCATATGTGCGGGTGACCTCACCGCGGCGCGGCCGCGACCAATGGGAGCTCTCAGCGGGCGGCGGTGACGCAGCTTCCGACTGTGACGCCGCGGATGAGGCGAGCGTGGGCGACGGAAGAGCGGCAGAGGGCAGCGGACAGGTGGGAACCTACTCCCGACGACGCGTCATACTACCGACTACGTCACCGCCGTAGTGAACAGCTGACCCGTCCTTAGCGACAGGTGGGCGGGTCTCGAGCCGTGCACGCCCAACACCCCCGTCGTGCTGTTCTCATACACAAATCGGATTTCAGCTCAAATAACTAGATCGTATATCACACCTCTGCTACAGGTGCTACCAGATCAACAAACGTCCACCAAACGCCCCTCCCTGCCTCCTCTCTCTCTCTCTCTCTCTCTCTCTCTCTCTCTCTCTCTCTCTCTCTCTCTCTCTCTCTCTCTCTCTCTCTCTCTCTCTCTCTCTCTCTCTCTCTCTCTCTCTCTCTCTCTCTCTCTCTCTCTCTCTCGGTCTTTCTATCTCTCTCCCTCTCTCTCTCTCTCTCTCTCTCTCTCTCTCTCACTCACTCACTCACTCACTCACTCACTCACTCACTCACTCACTCACTCACTCTCTCTCTCCTCTCCTCACCTCAGTTTTGATTTCTCTCCTCTCCTCAGTGAAGAGTGCCTGGCCGGTGGAGGCTCGCCGAGACCTGATGGACACCTTGAGACCCTCCTTGATGAGCGAAGAGGTGGTTTGCTGGAGGGAGGGGGTCGCTCCGGGCTCGCCGCTCGCCGCCTCCTGGTACTGCGAGTACGAGGACGGGAACGACGGCGGCGCCAGCGTCATCAGAGAGTTGAGCAGCTCGGGAGTGTGCAGCGTCTTGCCCTCCCCACCGAGCTCCAATGGCGTGGCGCTGAAACGAAGAGTTACCCGGTCAGCGAAGACCACGCAGGCTTTGAGATCAGAGGCAGATCGGATTGCAGCCGGCAGGGGGTAAATCTCGACGAAACAGATACGGTACGGGAAATAAGGCAAGCGCTGCAAGCTACTGTTGGCACTAGATAAACATTATTCCGTAAAATAGTGCGGGTTCTTTGTAAAACAGACACCACCGCTGGAAATAAGTGGGCTGTTGTCTCACGACCTTCAAAGCTACCGTGCAGCTCTGGTAAAAGTCGCGCCGGCGAAAAGCCGCACTGATAGCGGAGACATGTGAAACGAAAAGGTCAGCCCTGTTAGGTAAAACAATGCTGACTTCCGGTCATGCACAGTGCTTGCCGTACACGTCTACTGTCTGGCATTAATTCTTAAAGCATGACCGACTTAAGCCATGACCTTAACGTCACGGCACTAATTTACTGTCACATCATAACTTTAAAGGGACTATCCCACCTTTAACATGGGGTTTGAGTTGAGATAGCCAAGTTTGCGGCGAGGTTCAGAAACCACTATCTATCTAGGTTGCAACCCCCGCGGCCTCTTGGTGTTGAAGAAATTCGTTCCCTTCTTTTGAAAATGGGCCTTGTACAAGGCCCTATCTTCAACATGGAGCGACCGTTAGTGTGACGTCACCTCGTCTAGTCATTCTGATTTAAATGGGTTTGTTCGTTGAAAAATCGCTTAAAACTTGGTCTGAACTTTGTTGTGGTGCCTACAGAGTAAAAAGAATCAGCTTTATGACAGTAATGTGGCCTGGGGAAGGATATAATTTTGGGCTGTGACGTCACATATTTGAAAGTTTGTGTTTGGAATATGGGAAGCCTAAGATGTTTAATGAAAAATAAATGCCAGAACCGTGTTCCTGGTCATTCAATCTATAAAGTCGGGCACTATTTAACTAATTTTAACAACATTTTAGAAGGTGGGATAGTCCCTTTAAAATAGCGACCGTCTGTCACCCAGCCTGGTGTTTCCGCTTTTGTGTCAGCCCCGCCGCCAACAACCCCGCCCTGCACCTGTTTCAGCCACTCGACGGCAGAACATTCCGCCAGAACCCCTCCGTGACGTCACGACGTCTGCCGAACACATCCTTATTGCCGGCGCTGGACCGTTCAACAGATCAACCGATATGGGCAGGTCATTTTTCAGCGCATGAATAATTTGAGTAGGTATCGGCACATCTTTGTTTAGCATGGCGGCACAGCTCCTTTTGTATAGGTACCGCTTGTCCGAGGGAATGGTAGGGGAGATAGGGAGGAGACAGGAAGAGAGAGGGAGTTAAGGCGAGGGGAGATCTCGGCTGTCTTTGAGGAGGACCGGCCGCGGTGCGCCCGGCGGCTCTCGGTTGCAGAACGCTTGGTGAGCTATGGCCGCTGCACGGGCCCGAGCCCATCTGGGCCGAACACTGCCGCCGGCCGGCACTCAAGGAGCGGCACTCATTAGCTGGCACTCAGGGAGCGGCACTCATTAGCGCGTCTCTGCGCCGGCAGAGCGGAGAGAAAAGGGAGAGGGAGAGATGGGAGAGAGAGAGAGAGAGAGAGAGAGAGAGAGAGAGAGAGGATGGGGAGCAGCCGCCCTCACGGCCACTTTTAGACAGAACGGCAGACGGAGCCGTGGGACGGCACACTGCCGACAGTGTTCTGAGCTCTAGCTCAATCGGCAGGTTATACAATGGTTCAGTGCCCATGTCGGCCATTTTGAAAGTTAGCCAGTTTGCGGATTAGCCGATGATGCGGTTAACCACTGAGGTCACAACTCCTCTGATTGGTTTACCCTGTTTTCCATAGACGTGTAACGCTGCTCACTCTGATAACAGCGTAAACATTCATCCGGCGTAACTCGGCAGTTGGGAGGGACCGTTCCGTTCCGTTCCGCTCGTTCTGCATCCTGAGCCGACCGGACGAGCGCCGTCGGTAGCATAGATATCGGGCACGACGGGGAAAACAAAATGGCGCCGGGCGTGGGCGGCCCATGACCGGTGGAACTGGACATGGCCGGTGTTGTTGAAGGGAGGGCGAACGGGGGCGGAACGGGCACACACCAGCGTTGGAAGTGTGTCGATGTCGATGCAACACTCACCCATTGTCGTCGTGGAGTGTGGGCGAGTCGGGCGTGTGAACGAACATCTCACGCGCCAGCGCAGGACATCTGCAACAAACGGAGCATGCGCCTCAGTCGGTCGTTCGAGCTGCGGGGTTTGACAGTAGGGTCATGTGGCCACACGGCCTTATATGGCTTCATACTGCGTCACAGAGACAGTGAGACAGTGCTGCTTGCATGTCATTACCGTAAGAGGGAAACGGAGCTTGTTTAAATAAACAGAAGTGGCCTAACAGCGACAGTTACGACCCAGGCTGGTTTTAGAGGGACGAATAAAACAGTCCGCACATGGTGAAAGTAGTAAACGCTCTCCGGATACTCTCTGACGACAGAGACGGTATTTTCCGGGGAGACAGAAGACTACTGTCACGTGCTGTTCGTAAGAGACACTTCTGTCACCTCCAACGGATATGTGCTGTCACCAATGACAGTTGCTGTCCCGAGTGGTAGCCTGTTACAGCCACTGTCTTGGGTGACAGCCACCGTACCCCATCCTACCACCTGCAGCTCCTCCGACCGCTCGCGCACAACAGACGCCTGTTTGGCAGCGACCCGACCGCCAGCGAGCTCCGCTGCTGCCAAAGTGCTCGTTTGTCATCAGCTGCGCGCGACAACGATCGCAAACCGGCGCCGGCGACACGATTGTGGCGCATTTGTCCGTGCCATCGCCGTCTCAGTCGCAGCGATGGATACAAATGGTTTGTTTTTGCCGGGGCGCCTCTGCCGGAGGTTTTGCTCTCCTGCCGCGGTGCGCGGGGGCGGAGTGCCGACTGGACGCACGCTGACACGCACCGCGGGGTCCCCAGTGGCCGGTACATCTGCGGCCCGCCGGCACACATAATAGTACCGGTATCTGCGGCGCGGCCGGCCGCACTGCCACTGACACGAGCCAGGCGCGGCGGTCCGGCCGGGGGCGGCTGCAGCGGCCCCGCGGCGCGGCCCGGCCCTCCCCAGGCGCCGACACTCCTTATAAGGCGGCCACCGCGGGAAGCGCAAGCATCAATCAAAACGGCACGTTCGGAGCGGGGGCGGAACCCACGCGCTCTCAACGACCGGAACCTCGGAGCGTCGACCCACGCACCTATTGGCGCCGAGAGGCCGATCCCCAGTCAATTACAGCTCTCCCGACACACACCCGGGGCCGAGAGCGCGCTGCCTGGTGCTGTGAGATGGACGGAGGCTGTTGATGGCCCGTCTACGAGCGACCCTGACCACTGCAGACTGATTCAATAACCGCGCCACCGTCTGTCAACTGAAAAGGACTAATAACGGCCGCTAGTGGGTGCATAACCGACACAGCCAGCGCAGTTTGGGCAGTAAGCATAATGGCCAGACAGTCTCTGACTGATAAACCAGGCGCCAGGACAATTTAAGGCTTCTATGAGTTTATCCTAAATGGAAAACAAAAGAGACTTGGGGTCAATTTAAGTGAAAAAGATTAAAAAGCGCATCTAATGCAACATAAGACCACATCAACAGCCGACATTGCATGTCATTGCAAATGTCGAATGTATCGCCATCAGATGAAGACAAGGTCTCAGTTGCTGTTTCAGCAGTTGCTGCCGAATTTAATGGCCTGTTCCACCGTCCGCCCGTCCGTCCGACTCCGCGGTGTCGTCAGCCAACCGGTTGACTCGAGTCGTGACTCGGCGCCGCCGAGTCGAGGTCATCCGAGTCGCTGCAGCGCTGCCGAACCCCCTCATGACTCCCCCCGCTCCGAGTGCAGAGTCGAGGCCATCAGTTGGCGGCGCTGCAGCGTCCCCCCTCCCCCCCCCCCGCCCCATGACTCTCCCCTGGCGCGGCTGACTCGAGGTCATTCGAGTCGGCTGCAGGAGGCCGCTAGTGACGTCAAAGACCGACCGGCCACCCAGAGAGTCGAGGGGCCTCGCAGAAGGGCGTGGAGACACGCAGCTCGAGCTTGACAGCTGAAGAAGCCAGGGAACTTCTCAGCGCAGCACACTAACGCACTAAGCGTAAAGGCCAGCTTCATAAATAGGATAATAGAGCCAAACAGCCTAACCGATGACTATCTAATGACTGTCTAGTGTCTACGGTTATGTAACCAGGCAAGATAGGTATTCATGCGCAATTAAATGTTTGCATGCATTGCACAGTATTGTTTTTGTTATTGCTGTTTTTATAGCTACTTTGACAACTGCAGGTACCTATTCAAAGCTTTTGTATTCGAAGTCAACAGTTCATTGGAAAAGCATCCAGAAAGACATTGCTACTTTCGCTGACATGATTTTGACTTAAAAATAATATCAGGAATTATGTACTTTGCATACTTCTTAGTGACTTTGCAACAATTATCATATTTTCAATACATTTGATTCGTTTTGGCTGTAACATCCAACTGAACAGCGCTGACAAATAAGCATCAAAACGCTCACACCCGAATATGGCCAATAGAGTTAAACGCGCATTGCACAAGTTCATTGCTTAATTTATACGACATATCAACAAGAACTAATGTGTGGAATGGCGACAATGCCGTGTGTCTATGTAAAATATTGGTTTGATTGATAACAAAACAAAACAATGCAAGTAGGCATCAGCGACGTTGCAGGTATCTACTAATGACATATATTACAACAGACGGCGCAAGGCATATTTAGAAGCACACAACATCATCATTTGAGGATGTTTTAATAGCACAATGATCAACAGAACAATGCTGAAAATGTTACACTTGTTTCGGCAAAGCAGACATGCAAAAAAACACGAGAATGCCGTTTAATGTGAAACAGAAATATTAGCTAAATAAATTGCATGACTGAAATCGCAATGCTGGTTTTATTGCACATCCGAAACATGCGTGCTGATATGCATTAGTACAATAAAGGCAACTGTCAGACAACATTATTGACATATATCTTGTTACAAAGTGCGATGGCGAAAGGACAGATTTCGAAGCCAAGAACAGAGTTAGGAGCCAGACTCAGAGAAGCAAGTTCAGAGCGAGAGAGATAAGCAGCAGACAAAGTCAGAATGCTCCATCATGCCAAGCCGAGTTCAGGAGACAGAGAGGGTGCAGTCCCGTCCCGGTAGCTCACCTCTGCTCGACACACTCCGCCGCATAGCCGTATTAAACAAGCAAGCGGTTCCCAGCCGGTGATACCTACCCAGGGCCACCTGCACTGCGGGACTCCACCGTCCTCGGCTTTCCGGCCTCTCGGTAAAGCCACGTGCCTCCACTGACTGTATCCGATCCGCACACGCGCCCTCACATCACAGATATTCGCCACCGACTGGCCATCACCCAGCCAGGCAGGCATACATATAACGCTGTTCTATAAATAGAACTGACATCACCTCGAGCCCTGTGGTTGGCCGACGCTCGCGAGCGGCTGTGTCGCGCGCTGCGATTGGCTCTCGCTCGCGTCGGCCCGCCCCCGGTCGACTGGCCAGCTGCTCGGGTAATTTGTAAACAGGTTGTGTCGGAGCCCGTCGTAGCCAGGTACGCGAGCCCCGTGCGACGTCTTTAGGGCCCGACTCTTCCGGTGCATCCGCTTCACCTCTTGAGATCAACACGACACGAAAGAGTGGCCTAGAATTGACACAAAACACCCGGCTAGTGGTCTCCCCGACGTAGCTCGCTCGTGCCATTCATTCGTCCAGGTAGGAGCACCTGGGTGACGTCACCTGTTACGTCAGTTATGCAACAGCAGCCAGTGGTGAGGCCGGTGCCGGAAGGAGTGACGAACTGAGCGGAACGGGTGACGCAGCCGTCCGCCGGGCGTGGGTGTCATTCAGACCGGTTGGTTGGCACGGACAGCCGGTGACGTGTGGAACGATCACGACGGTGGAGCGACGTAACAGCGGCTAAAGAAAGGTCGGTCAGTTACGTAATCAAAACAGAACGGCAGCCAAACGACCGCGCTATTGAGAGGAGATAGGACGGCTGCAAATTGAATAGTTTTATTTGATGAAAGGTGAGAGATAATGAGCATGTGATAAAAAGAAACCAAAATTATTATGAATAGGATGACAGCCTTCGATGAATGCCGACCTGTTGATGCTGTGAATGAAAGCAAATTTCGTGCATCCCAGCCTATTTATGTATTTTATCCCAGCCTTATCCCAGCCTGTATATTTTAATGGACAGTCATTTCAAATGAAGGCGGTGTTTCGCCTTCTCTTTAAAGCGTTCAATATGTAGTAGGTACAACATCCTTAGAAACCAGCTCGATGCCAACTCACGGCAACAAGCCACAGTGAACAGCAAACAACGCCATTTTGTTACATATGTAAGCGAAGAAAAATGTTTCCTGAAGAGTGACTAAACAAGGCAAAACGTGTTTAATACTCCCTGGTGCACACAAAACAACTTCACCGTGGTCAAAGTATTATTATCAAGATCTGCAGCTGCACGCCACATTGTATCGAGGGGTTTTACACACTGTCACGGCATGGGTATAACCAAAACGATCTGCTGCAGGTACAGGACATGAAAGCGCTGTCCTGATATGCGTAAATATGCTACAAGGCCTTGAGTGAAGGTATGAGTCTACGATAAAATGAGCATATTTCATAATTAAATGGCCTTTTGACATTTATAGAGAGTGGTAATGGGCTAGCTATTTGCTGAATTGTCTGGAAAAGAGCGCCTGCCAGTGTCTTTTACCGTGATGGGTGGCTGCTGTCATCACATTCCCAACTAATCGCTAGCTATATTCCATCTGTCAGTGTCAGTCAGTCAGTGACATCTCTAAAATATATCTCTCCCTTCCTCTTCCCAGCTCGCACTCCCACACCACAAAATACGATGGCGGAACTCCTCGTGCAACTACACATCCGTACGTCACTGAATTTCGGCACGTTTATGTGCAGACGGTGATCCATTTCCTTCCGCGCGTGACATCAACTGTAGGCCATGATTTCGAGCGCGGGCCGCACCGTCGCCCGGTTAATCGTTCGCCGAACGCGACGTCACATGACGTATGGCTAGGTAAGAGGTGCTCCGACCAGTTATGACGCTAGTGCGAGCCCGTTCCTGCCGCTCCGATACCATCTAAGCCGGCCATTTTTCAGGTGTTGGGCGATTTTTAGCGGCGATGCCTCGGTGATGCCAGGCCGCAGCACGCTGGCGCCGGCGCTGGCAGCCGCTTTCGGCGTTGCTACGGACGCTTGGACCGGTGAAGAGTAGCCTTCGAGGCCGCGGCGGTTGTGTAATGATAGTGGATTTCGGTGTCGGAGCATCAGTGTGCATGGCCTTGCAGAGATAGACCGTACAACTGCGGTATGTCGAAATATTTTTAATAGCGTGCCAACAATAGACTGGTCCTCTGAAAGTGCTACCGGTAAATGCCAGGAAGTAGATAACCTATTTATTGTGTTGGACAGGTTAAACGGGTTTTCATTCAACAGTTAATCGAACAACATCACCACGGTTTTAGTTCGCATGTGTTTTTAGACATAGGTGTGATTGAAATTTGGGGAAACAGGTGAACCAATACATAAATATAATGCGCTCTCCTCAGTCATTCTTATTTATTGGCATGTACGATGGGGTTCTTATCACCGTAGTAAGGAAACGTAGCATAGAATTACGTAATTTGTCGAAAGGATTATCTAATTGTCAAATGGACGAAGAGTCTTATGCCGCGCTTGGTATCACCAGCCGCTTGTGTATTGCGGGTACAGCATAACCACCACACTATGAGCAGCTTGCGCCCGGCGGTACAGTCTACCGCTTCAGGCGGACGACTCCTGACATCTATCGGGAGCAATAGTAACTAGTCGGGCGTTGCCAACGATGTCGCATAAACGACATTCGCTACAGATCCAAAGCATTGACACCTCTCACGTAGTCTGTGCCATTTCACGGTTGTGAGATATTCGTAGGCGTTGCCGAAAATAATATAGTGTTGCATTTATTGCTGAAGTTCTATAAATATGAACTACGGTGAGCAGTGAGTGCATTTAGCAGGCATGGCGAGGAGTTTGGTACTCGTCCTAGCATTGAAGCAAATAATTATTTACGTTTACTTATGACGACACTTGGAAACTGACACGACACCATCGTCACAGCGTAAAACCTGCATACCGGCCAAAACATGAAATCCCTCTACACGAGTAAAAGTAATAAATGTGACAAAATGCCCTGCTAAACGTATCACCTGACTTGCCGCCAACATAAAAAGACCCGGAAAACAAACTATCTCAGAGCGGTTCCCTTTGAGGTGGTAATGACGCATAGTGATGTGTTGGCAATCACCATGAAGTCAGCCATATTTTCACACCTTGCCATGCGATTTGACGAATCCCCGTGGTCCAGCGCAGGGGCCACAGCCGGGAAGTCGACCGGCAAGTTTCCATGGAAGTCCAAAGGTGACGGCAGTCGGGAAGTTTCCTAGTGTTGGTCGTCGGAGGGTCGTTTCTGCGGGTGTCGCGCCGCATTTGACTCAGTCGGCGCGAGCGCGCGACATCGCAACCAGGAAAGAAAGCGGACACGAGCGACGAGAGTCCGCCCCGACACGGGCGGCCCAGAGGCCGCGGGCACAAGGACGACAATATGTCCCTCACACCCGGCAGACCATTGTTGCCCAACGGCCGTGTATGGGCACTCTGAAAGGCTGGCGCGACGTACTTTTTGGTGTTACACCGCGCCAAACAGGGAAACAACGCGGCCGTTTTATCACTCAGGTGCGAATACACGAGTTTGGCTTTTCCAGAAAGGCTTCGACGTGAGTGGAGTGGACACATGAGCTAGATCTTTGGAGTCGTTTTCATCTAAACTGTAGATGGTCACAAGTCGACAAGGCTTCTTCTGTGAATACATTTTGTACTGCTTCGTTCCTGCATGCTCTACAATTGTTATGCTCATTTTTCCGTGAGATGCACTGAAGGCTAAATATAAGCCCCTGAGCTGCCTGGTCCCTAGAAATATTCGTGGAAAAGATCAAGCGTTTAAGTCGGTTCATATCATGTTCAGGATTTGTCAGCGCAAACTGGTTTTGCTATTAGCTCAATCGGTGATTATCAAGCCACGGCTCAGACGAGCCTAAGTTTGCTTAGATATACTTTTCGTAGAACTTAACCCGCGCGGGGCTGGGGTCTCCAGCCGAACGCGCGGGGCTGGGGGGGGGGGGGGGTAAATTTTACCCCCCCCCCCCCTGTTATCTCCCGAACTAATGGTCCGATTTGGAAAATTCAAACGCCAATCGAAAGCTCTCATCACGAACTACTAAAAACATGTACTTAATTTAAAGTTTGAGGTCAAGGTCAAGGTCAGGTCAAGGGTACAAATTGCAAGTTTCTACAGTATCGGCCTTGCACCGTAGTTGCCGAAGAATGGAGTCATGGACTGAGACTGATCGCCCAAAACGTGTTCTTAGGCTACCAAGACAATATTAGTTGCATAAAATATCATTCAGAGGTCAAGGTCAAGGTCAGGTCAGGTCAGGTCAGGTCACCAAAAAACAAAATATAGAAAAGGGCATGTGCGACACATGTTTTATGGGTCATTTTACTCATAGAATTCAATAGCCACACTCAATAAGTGATATGGACCACCTCTGGATGAATTTCAGGTCGAGGTCAGGTCAAGGTCAGGTCAAGTGAGGTCAAATTTAGAAGTTGGTTGTTAAGGCCTAAAAAGGTGTCTATCTGATGCAGTTTTTCACGGCGAATCGAATGGTGCTATTTTTGTTTCCGTACGAGGTCTAGAACTTCCAAAAAAGTCATTTTTCAAAAATTTTGTGTGTCGTGACGTCATAAAATTTTGAATAACTCCCACATTTTTGAACCGATTCTTCTAAAATTTGGTATGTAGGTGCACATAGACCACTTCTCTGACATATATTCCGGTTTTTTCGATAGACTCAAAATTTTGGATTTTATAATGATTTTCCCAAAAAAATCCAGTTTTTTTTAAAACATTCAGGCCAAAATCCAAAATTTTCAAAAAACCGAGATAGCCATTTGATAGACAAAGTAAAATTACGTATAACCTTTTTTGTTACGTCTTGATTCCTTTAAAAATGAAGATGTTAGCGGCGTTTGAACTTTTGCCGTTTTTGAGGCGAAAATGGCGAACATGAGGTCACTAAAACGTCAATTTCTCAAAAATTTTCCGACGGATTTCGCTAAAATTTTCAGGGAACGTGTCAAATTGATGTAAGAAAAGGTACTGTTGAGATATCGCAAAAATTCGCGAGGGGGGTAAAATTTACCCCCCAGCCCCGCGCGGGTTAAGATACGTGCAGCTAAGTCGGTACATCATGCTGAACATGAAACGCTGGCAAACTGGTTGTTAGAATGAAAT